TTATTGCATTTTCTTCTTTCACAATTTTTCCTTTGTGATTGAAGTGATTTTTTGACTTAAGGACATGTATCACATAGTTAATAAGGGGAAAAGTTCAGCTCAAAATTCAGAGAGGTGGTAGGAGCGCAAATTTATGCAGCAACGGTGGAAATTATTTTTCTCAAATGGATGTACTTACATACACGCTTTAACGTGTACTAAACCTCTTCTTTTTTATGTTATTCAGAAAAACAAAAATTATAGATCTATTTGAAAATAAAACAGGTTTATCTGATGGTAATCTTTCATACAAACATAAGCTGGAAGGTTTCTACAGATCTTATAAATGCTATTTTAAGTGATTTTTCCATAAGGTTACATGTTAAATTGCAAATTTTTTAAATTGAAAGTGCGAAAAAGGGTACAGTTAAACGATCTGCTATTTTTAAAGGTATTTCTTATTTTCTCAGGAAGTTGTTTTGAAACTATCCGAAGATTCGATTCAAGTGCACAGTCTTACACTGGCCAGCCTCCATATTGTTTATATTGTATATTGTTCTACAATATACTGTTTATAATGGTTCAGTGATTAAATATTAAAACATTTATTGAAACCGCAACCAACTAACGTAGGCATACTTTTTCCAACGATAATTGCACCACCTTTGTATAAAATATCGTTTCATAGCGGTATATTTTGCAGGGACTAGACGCGTGGGGCCCTAACCGGGGGCGAGGAAACGCGAAAATGCCCGAATACAGGCAACGGTTTCGGCGGCTCGCCACAGGGAAAGTGAAAAGCAGGGAGATGCTAGAGAGAAAAGACGGGAGTGGCATTCAGAGGAAGAGTTCCTCGTGAACCGGACCTAATCGGTCAAGCGGTTGAAGGGTGCTCAGCAACCGCAGGCTTTCTTCTCTGGGTCCGTTTTGGGGACAAGGCCTTCTTCGTCTCAAGCCCCTCGCCTCTGCCTGTTTTCTTTTCCCGGTTTGCGTAAGTAAAAGGGGGCTATTTAATAGGCAATTGAAAGGAGTTTGTGAATTATCGTTACGATAATTCCTCACCGCAGAAGTAATAAATCTCTTGCGGTAGCTTCGTAGGCATACTCATCTCTCTTTGCTGACTAACTAGCCTACCTCCTTCTTTTAAAGTTCATTTCTTCTGTTGTTTTTGTATACCGTGCTACCGTGTTGTCTAGCCGATATATCCCGTTGATTCTACGAGAAGCCCACGATTGTACTCCTTATGTTTTTCTTATATTATATCCGAGATTATTGAGTCCAATAGAGTATAGAGTGTAAGGGGTTTCGATTATTAGTTACAACTATTATTTTGCGTTCAATGGTGATTAACCCAAAAATAAAAACGAAAGTCTGAAGTTCGTCATTGAACTAATTAAAGTTATGATTTATTGATATTAGAACCACGTCGATCATGAATATTGTGTAAGACTCATATAAAAAAGGGCGTTTTCTCGTTAGTTAAATATTAAATCATTGTGATAGGAGAATTAGCGTTGATGTGCTACGAAGCGAGTTTATTCGAAAGTTATCTAATCTTAATACACTAAAAAGTGAGTTGTGCAAATCAAGAAAAGCATATTATTTAGTTTATTTTAAATCAACGATTAGTTGGGTTTGAATGGTGTTTGATAACTGCGTTATGTTTCATTATGTTCTCATTTCTTTTTTCATTAATTAGATAAATTAATCTTTGCGTTGAGATCAAAGTTTGTAACTATTTTATAAGACAAGAGCTTTGAATATATTTTGGAATTGAATTACAATCATTCGTATTTTTATTATTTAATACATTGTGCTCCTGGTTCCATCGTATCCCGTATCCCAAATAAGAAAAATACCCCGCAATTTATATTTATAATTATATTATCTGTCATATAACTTTACAGAAGTATAACTTCTTACTTGGGTAATCAAACACCTACTGTCCACTGGTTTTACCTCTGCACGTTTATCGTATTCTCAGTATGAAAAATAAAGTTTGCACCTGGTGCACATCCAACCAGGGCAAGCACAAGAAGGTTTCTCGGGTCTGGTACTTGCCCTGGCACCATGCGCCACCACGATGAACCTCAGATGACAAACGACGTCATCATGTAGCTGATTTGAGCCACATCATTAAATTTTAGTGCTAAATTGGGTCCTGATCATTAAATAGTAGATAAGGAAAATTTTACTCTGGCTGGTTTGTTTCAAATAAAGGTACAAAGTAATATGTTTGATTAAATACACTTTATTAAAGCTTCATATTTTTATACTTGTTATGATGTATTGTATTTTTTTCGATTAAGGAGGTTCGAGAGTATCATTTAAAGGGATAAGAAAAACGGGTATTACCCCTTCTCACACAGCTTGGCCCCCTTTACAGCGTACCCCGTCTTGCACCTAACAAACTCAATATTTTACTCTCGCTTGACGTTGGCATTGTTTAAAATGCACTGTAACATGCCTTGAAATTTTTCTCACTGAATAATTCAACAATAATTCATTCGTAGGTAGATTTTTTTAAAATATTTTTACACTTTTCAAAAAATTTTGTATTTGTTAGTGTCAAAATTAAGGTTACGTCCCATAAGTGCGTAAGCTAATCATATGATTTTTGTTCGATTCATTTAAAAAAAAAATGGCCTATAACAAATACTTGAAAAATTTGTGTAAGTTCTAAGTATTCTAGATCATCAAAAAAACTCATTATCATAATAATTTTTCCTTTTTGTTATTACTCCTGAACCTTTTTTAAGGATTGTTAAAATATGCACATGGAGTTTACAGTGTGTGCCTGTTGTAACTATTTAGAAACTTTGATGTCATTCATCGTCTTTGCCTCATACCATTTACACGTTGCTCATCTTGCCATTGAATGATATAATAATAAAGTTTTGTGCCAGTAATGTGTTTCATTCTATCATTATTCAAAAGAATATCGGAGCTGCGAAATATTTTTAAACACACCAGTATACTCCAATATACTGCCAGTCCAAAACCTGGATAAAGTGTGACAGAACAAAATAGGGTGTGTAATGTTCTGGAGCTGAATTAGAAACTAATTAGTTAGACACCGACACTTACTGGTCAAGGCCCCCAGATTTTCGGGAGTTCGCCGCATACGCATTTCACAGTCACCCTCTTCTATACTCAAGAAGCCCAAGTGGGGAGGTCCCTCTACCTATACTTCAACCTAAGCCCTACCCATTTTCTACAACTTAAATATGACATCTTTTGCAAAGTAGGTATGATTGACGTAAGCTGCGTGGGCTTAGTCTTTTGCTGTAGCCAAACATGCCAGCTGTTTCGTTCGACGATATACTGTCGGTCGGCCCCCCCTCCTGATCGTCTAGGCGCTTCATTACGCCACTGCCGCTGGCATCGACGGCCTGTGCCAGGACCAGTTCAGTTCGTCTCCTGATACACAGGTTCACGCATCAGCTGGCCAGCTACAAGCCTCTACCAGCCAAGCCACACCAGCAGCAGCCAGCAAGCCGCTCGAGACAGCTAGTCCACCAACAATATCAGCAGAGCATAGTACGCAGAAAGCACGCTATTCATTGTCGCCGGGTCCGCTTCCCTTGTACTCAACAAATAAAAAGTTTCTCAAACATTGGTCCTTCGAGCCGGATTCAGCAACAAGGAGAGAAAAGCCGGCACGATGTAAGTACGCATTAAGTCCTGCGTCTTGTGTTAATGCGCATGTCTTGCGCGTCCACGCGCGTTAATTAATGTAGCTGAAGCTCATGGCCGCCACGCTGCCCATGATACGGATTGCGTGGCAGCCGTGGTTCTCGTTTGTCAACCACCGCGGCCGCCATATCACAGGCGTCGCCGACTGGCGCTCGCGAGTGCACGCGCGCTTGGGACCGCCATATTGGCTGCTCGCTGTGCGAGCGTTAGCCACTGCCGCCGCCATATTGCAGGCGTCGCCGACTGAAGCTCGCACGCTCTGGACCACCACGGCCGCCATGATGCCCGTGTCGCGGATTTGAGGTTTGGCTGCTCGCCGTGCGAGCGTTAGCCCCCGTGGCCGCCATGTTGCCCGCATCGCATGACTGCTGCTCACAAGTGCACGCGCACTCGAGACCACCACGGTCGCCATGAGGCCCGTGTCGTGGATTTTATGCAGCCAACTGAGCGTCTGGCGCCTTGCTGCCTCGCTCGCAGAGTAGTCATCCTTTCCGAGCGCCTGGTGCTGTGTCGCCTCGCTTACAAAACAGTTGGCTCAGCAGAGCGACTTATAACTGATCAAAAAGCGTCCGCCTCGAGTTCCGTTGATGATTCAACGTCGAACTCATTATATTCATGATTTTCAGGGAAACCGGACAAGCGTCAGCCCTGTTCACCACCCAACAACGGCTTGGCGACGTCATCGCTCGGTTCACGGCCGCTGTAAAGGCCACCGAGACAAGCCACTGGACCCCAGGCCTAATCACGGCTCGGCTTGAGCTCTTGGACGCCTACTGGAATGACTTCCAGGTCAACCACGTGGGTTTGTTGACCGCAGAAACCACCGAACACGGTGACGCCGCGGACAACATACACGCCGCCGCAGAGGCCAACTTCGTCGATGCCCGGTCACACCTGTATGACGCTCGGCTCGCACTAGCCCCGCCCGGGGCCCACGGGGAAATCCGCCCAGCCGGAGAACCGGCACCACATCGTGGGCCCAAGTTGCCTACGATCACCATCCCGCCCTTCTAGGGACGACGAGAGGACTGGGAATCCTTTAGGCACCTGTTCCGAGCCCTCATACACGACGACAAGCAGCTAACGGACGTTGAGAGACTCTATTATTTAAAGTCACTCACTCAAGGCGATGCCAAGGCCGTCTTGGACNAAGCACAAAATTCTTACTAATTGCGGTCTAGTCATATAAACATAATAAGTTAATCGCATACTTTTGTCAGAAGATAACTATGATTTAAGGATTTTTAGGTTTAATTATTTTATACATTTTAACTTTTTATCATAGTTTAAATTAAGTAAGGACTTTACTTCTACTTTTGACTTACATGATCAGAGCTCAACCATTTATGCTGTTCTTCAAGTAAATTGACTGCTCTATCCCAATTATTCATGAATTTGTACTTTAACAGTGAGTCATCGACTAAATTCCATTGACGCCTTGCATAACTGAAGCTATCTTTATTGCCAACTCGAGGAAAATCTAGCCATTCTGGATGTCCAAACTCATTTCCTATGAGATATACTCCTTTAGTATTATTTAAATAGTATACAACCAATATTTTTTCATTACCACGTAAGCACAGATTTTTTGTTTGTATTATTAAGTTTTAAGTTTTTATTAATGTGTCTGATAACTAAATAAAAATTACTTTTGTGAAGACACAGGATAAAATAGCAAATCTGATTAATATTAATGAAATAATCTATTATTTTAAAACATAGAAAACTGTGAAAACTTATAATGTATATTTCAAAATGATGTATATTTCTAAATGTATTTACGTTTACAGAATAATTTTGTTATAGTTGAATTTAATGGTAAGTAATGAAACATCCTAAAAAATTTGAGATTCTCACTCATCATAAATTTTCATAAAATAGCTGAAACCTTTCAGTAAAAGTGTGCTGAATACTCCTTTCTAATTTAAACATGTAAATGAAACAATATAGGTTTGACTTAAAAATTCAGTATGTCATAAGGTACGTAACGTATTAAAAATTGTTTCTTTTAAAGTTTTCAAAAGATACTAATGGATATAATTCAAACCTTACACTATTTCGTAAGCTTTTTAAGCTTCTGCCTGACTAAGCTAGCAGCCCGAGAGCTTACTTATATTAAGCAGATTTGACTGTCTCTTTCCTTTTCGATTTATGTTGTTTTCCAAAAGGAGGTTCCCGAAGAGCCTGCTCGGGAGAAAGAGAATTACTAACATGACAGCCAGATATTAACTCCAGAATGAGTTATCTATCGATAACAGTTACAGAATCTTTGTCGTAATATAGCGGCCTCGTCATATTTGACGAGGCCCAAGTGCTGGCAGAATAAAAGATACCCCCAACATCTCTCTCCTTCTCTTTTTCTTCGTTTGCGTTTGTCCCGCCTGTTTACACTCTTGTAATATTAAAAATTACCTTTTTTCTTTCTCTCTGTTTTTCTCTCTCTTACATTCACTTTCATTCTGGTTATTTAGATTCTTCCACTTGTTTACGGCCCCACACTAAGTACAAGCAGTTATACTATACCTGGGAATCGTAAGTCCCGACTTAAGCACGAACATCGTCACGGCAGGATCTGATGGTGCCTATTTCCGCTCTCTTAAAAAGCTGTAGTACTTAATTTTTTGGTCATCAACCACGTCTCTACAGACTCTCTGTAACCACAATATCTTCACTAAGTGGATGTTAGCTCAGTTGACTGCTGAGTCTGCATATTCACATAATCATTATTAATTTTAACACTTACTTGTACTACAGTACACAAATTTTTGCACAACTTTTGATAATTTCGTAGATAACTCGCGAAAAACTAACTTTACTTCTTCTGGTAGCCCTTCCATGCCTGGGCATACAGCTACTACTGCATCTCTCTAGCCTTTAAACTTTATCTTGACATTTACCACTGCAGTGTTCATATTATCTCATTTTACTCCTCTACTCTTTGCACAAGATTGATGTTGCTGTAACCGTTTCACTGGCAAAAAGGAAAGTACAGCCGTACCTAGCATGGTATTTATTAGCACATTTATAGTGATGAAATTTCGCCTTCTTGTACGCTTCACGTGCTAAGTTTCTTGCTACTTGTGACAATATAATGAGTATTATACAATAGATGATTGTGAAATATGAACAAAGAAATCTAAAATAACAACTGTACTAAGCTCTTTATGCGGAATTTTCAAAAACATTCTATTGTTACTTCTATTCTTGTAATTTTTAAGTGGAATATGGTATGTCGTTTTGAATTAATAAATACCATTCAAATTTATTGTGTATGGCTTAATAGAGATTTTGTTATCATTTAATAAACATTTTATTCCACAGGTTATTATAAATATAGATAAGGCAAGTGAAAGAAACGTACAGAAAAAATTTAAGGTTAAGTAAAATGCAACACTTCGTAAAAGTACATCAAACGTAACATAANTGTTGATTTTTTTTTTTATACGAACTATGAAAATCATTATAATTTCTCGTCGAGGGGTAAATATTTATCAGGTTAAACCAACAAAATGTACAAAAAATACGGGCTAAACGTTCCTCACCGCTATAGAAAACGCTTTTAGTAGCATCAGCCGATAAATCATCGAATCAAATTTTCATTCACATCTTTCAAATATTGCTGAGTAACACTTTTTAAGATATTAATCTGTACCGAATTGCACGAGTTTTTTCAACTAGTGTATCATTAACAACTTACTTCACTATAAGTATTAATTATTGGTAATACGTGTCGAAAAATATGGATTGCTATAAAAGCTCATGTGGCAATTTTTCAATGTTTTTCTATGTACATCTAAAAAACACTAAAAAAAAATGTTTGAAAAATTCATGGTAATTTCAGATAGTATAATGATAAGATCCATAAATATTTTGTTTTTTGTTGATTAACAAAAAAAAAGAAAAAAACAAAAATAAAAGATGAAAAAAAATTTATCGCTCGGAATATAAAAGTTTTTATGAAATAACGCTTTCTCTATAGTTTATTTATTACGTGTGGGTTTATTTATCAAATTTCTTTATAAGATGAAAAAAAATAAAGAAAAACAAGTTCTAGACAAAAAAATTAAGAAATCAGTTTTACGTATTGAACAACTGAAACATTGGTATGATTTATGCCTGCTACAAAAAATCAAATGAAAGAATTAAAGAAATTGAAATAAAAAAATAGTTTTGGCTAATATCAGACGTTGTTAGAAGCATTGATTTATTTTAAGAATACGCCTATGTACACCATACTAAAAAAATTTGGCTCACAGATAACTTAACAATAAGACCTCATTCCGTAAAGGCTGAGCCAGAAGAAATTCAGAAAGTGAATTTAATTTTTTTGTTTTTTTATATTATAGTGCTTTACGTCCAGCTCCTTTGATAAGGGCACTACACAGGGCACTTAGCACTTTGGAGAAGAAAGGAAAGAGGGATGGGAGGCCTTCCATCACTGGGAGGGGGGTAGGGAGAAATTAGGAAATGATGCTGCGAGGAGGTCGCCTAAACCCTCCTCGAGGAGCATTGCGTGGTGAAAAACATGCAAACAATCACAGAGGTACTTGCCCGAAAGTCGCACTGGCCGGGAATCGAATGACGGTCTCCCGCGTGCCAATCCACGACCTAGCCGACTGAGCCAACGCACACTCTGAATTTAATCATTTTGAGGTACATAAGTCTCGTTTTCGTTGTTTTAACGACTTTATGGACATCGTTTGTCAATAAAGCTGTAAAACAGGATCAAAGAGAGTGAATTAATTGTAGGCATATCGTCAAAAATACTTCCTCTTTGATGTTTTAAAATTCAAGTGTGCAAATTTAAAGTAAACAGTAGCACGGTCTCCAGGCTTTCTCTGCTTTCTGAAATTTACCTCATGGCGCTTCCACACTACTGGATTTTTCTTTTAGTACTGCAAATTATTACAGGACACTAGCATGAAGAGCAATCCATATACGGCAACATAAATCCAAACGAATAATACTAATACCCTCATTTTTCTTAATCAAAGAACGTATGTGATGAACTTATAGACTATTGAACTATAAATCACCTCTGTTTAAAACGCTTTCCCTCTACCGATAACACAGTGATTTTTTTCTAGTTTATTTCTCTATAATCTTATGCTTCCTTCTACTTTCCAAACTATTAAACCACCCTAATAAACTAGTTTATATTATTATTTGAATCTTGGAATTAATAGAATTTCGATATTGTTCCTTAGGATTTAACACAAAATATTCTTCCCACTTCATAAACACACGTTGAAAATAAAAGCTGTTAAAAGATTGTAGAAATCTTACTCTAATAAAATTCGAAAACATGCAATTAAAATTAGTAGGTAGCACATATGAAACCAAAAAAACAAGTACTAATTCATGGAAAGCCGAGAATTAAAAGCAACTTATCAAATCAACTTATGTAAATAACACAGGCCCACAAAAAAAAAAAAAAGTCTGTGCCATTAACCGGACCTATAAGTTTTTATGTATTTTTCGACGCTGAATGTGAATTTGCAATAGAAGAAGTATGATCCAGCTACTTTTTTGTAGGGTTTTGCTTGAAAAACCTCATTTTTTACGGTTTTTTCATGGTTTTTTTTAAATAAAAAAAATAATGAAAAATTTTATTTTTTTGACTTCAGAATCAAATTCTACGGGAAAAAATACATTGAAAACCATGTTTTAAATTTTCTTTTTACAGAAATTTCAACCCACCATACTGTGATGAAAAGGCAGAAAATCGCGAAAAGTGGAAATTTGCTTCAAATTTGATTAAAATGACATTAAAATCAAGTTTTACGATCTTAAACCGATTTAAAAAACATTGAAAATACTTTACTGGGGGTTTTTAAGGTCGCTGATTAGGAATTTTAAGTCATTTTTTTTCAAAAAACAACTCCTCGTTGGCGTAAGTGGACAATAAACGTTATAAATTGATATTTTTTTCAAAAAATCGATGTTTTGGACACTGTTCTGGAGCTTTTCCACAACATGAATGACAAAACTAGAACTTTTTTCGACTCTTGATCATAAAGTAAGACTTAGAACTTATGTATAGCGATATTCATAAACATTATAAAATTTTTAGCTTCTTTTAAGAAGTGCCTTAGAGTTTTAATGGGTTAATCAATTGAGTTTGTAGAATTTTCGCTAATACTTCGCAACTTCGATAGTGAGATGTTGGATATTAGATATTGGTGATATCTATTTTTATTTTTGTCTTACAAAAAAATATTTTAAATGAAGTTTTAAAGTGTTTTACGCTTGCGCACACGTTTCTCGTCAAATGACCGGCGCGGGCGTAAAGAATTTCTGACACGCTTTTGACCTCTTTTTGAAGATGCTTCTCTCTTCATCACTCAGCAGTAATCTGCCAACATATTTATACCCCATCGTCCTTGAAATCTGCGTTCAAATTCCTTCAAGTCTTGGTGAAACCGTTCTCCTTGCTCTTTACTAAAGTCCCCGTTGTTTTCAGGAAATTGATCAATATGTGAATCAAGGAAATGAAGCTTCAAGTTCATT